TTTTGTAGAGCTTGTGACTCAGTCATCATCACCAAACTCACTTCCCCAGCCTGTTGGCCGTATATCATCAACTCCTCCATAGTAGATGTTTGACAAATCTTCTATATCCCACTGAAACCCATAGTCAGAGTGTAGGTACAGAGAGCAGAAAGCATTGGGTGCTGGAGTCAGATCGAATTTAGGAGGGCTGCATGGCCCTATATGAGCCAAATTCCCGTCGAAGCTATTCTTTCCAATGTTGTTAACTTCTCCCAGGTAATAACTTTGATCTGCCTCGATGTTTTTCACGATACCATCGGGATGCCATATCGTAACCCTCTGATGCATCAAAGATGGCATTACACCTATGCCATGTATCCACTCTCGACCCAAGAGCAGATTATAATTTGGTTTCGCTGAAATCACCATAAACATGGTAGATCGAAGAATAGAGCCCACCTTGAGATCGAGTTGTATAACTCCCATGGTGGTTCCAATACCCCCTTCATAGTTTTAAAGGACCATGTTGTGGGGCTTGATATCAGCATCCCCTTTTCCATTTTTTCCCAGCATGAATTGTGGAACTATGTTTATGGTTGCCCCACAATCAACCAAGATCTTATTTATAGTCACTTCCCATATCTTTGCTCTGATAAATAGGGGCTTGAGGTGATTCTTCATCGCCTCAGTTGGTGGCTCGAAGAAAGCGTTCTGCTCCTCTATGCAACCATTATTCATTACATAGTAACACATTGGCTTATGTCTGGCCATTTCCTGTTCGACCATCAAGTCAGTTTCTTCAACTTCGACCTGACGGTTGTATTCCCTAGGCAACACTGATATGACATTTACCATGATGTCCAAAGTATCATCAGAGTCAGAGTCTCCTTTGTCATTCGACGCACATTGTTCTGGCCACACCAGAGGTTTTCTCTCTAGAGGTTTTCTTTGCTTTCCTTTTCTTTGCACATTGGTGCTAGATTCTGGGTGAGGCTCTGCTGCAGCCTCTTTTTCGGCCTTTTATCGTCTTTGGAATCTTCGCCATTGTGAACAAGACATGGGATTATTCCCTTTGTAATTGCTCGATACGTGAGTCATTTTATTTGATGTAGTGGCATGGTACTCTTTTCTGTAATCCAAAGAAGAGCCCCTTGGCACGTCGAACGTTCGCCACTTTTCTTCATTGGGCCTTTTTTTGCCCATAGTGTTAAGCCAAGTACCTACAGGTACATTAGTTGGAGGCCTATAAGTTGGTGGCCTCCTTACCTGGTTCATGGGTCCTCTTTGATGTCCCCTTCTGGGATCGTATCTATCTTCTAGATCCATTTTTGGTTGAGCATTGGTGCCCCATTTTGCCTTCACTGCTCTTATACCTTGTATGTGTTCTGCAACTTTCTTGTGGAAGATAGAACTGCATCTGGGACACAACATCACTTAAGACTTTTTCTTCTGGCATCGATGTAAGAATTCTGCCAGATCCTCATTTTCTTTAGGAAATACTGTTTTGTTCACTTCCTTCAGTCGAATGGCCTCTTCTGAAGCCTCGGCTTCAGATACTTCGACCATGTTTACCTCCATGTTGCTTTTGGAAACGAGGTTCAGTTTCTGCATCTTGGCCTCCAAGTTATCTGTCGAACTTTTAATGGTAGCCAAGTAAGAACCTGTAGTGGTTCTCTTGTTGGAGCTTTCAGCAACTCCTTTGTTTGTGTTTGGGCCTTCAGTAACCCTTTTGCTTGAGCCTTCAGCAGCTCCTTTGTTCAGTTTCAGGCCTTCAGTGGCCTTCCTTACCCCTTTGATAGTTTTCCTGGATATGTTTCCAGTAAAATGCCAAATACGGGCTTGTTAACAAAGTCCTCAGAAACTTCAACCATATGGATGCCCACTGGTTCAGCATAATGCGCATCCCCTTGTAGCGGGTTCGCGTCAATTTTCATTACCGGCTTATCAACAAACTTAAGCCTTCCTTATTTGAGTGCTCCTTGAACAAGATCCCTGAAAAGAAAAGATTGTGAGGTTTTATGGCCCAGAAAATTGTGATATTTACAAAAACATCTTTTCTTCCTTTGTTCTAAAGGAGGCATTTTTGCCCCTGGGGGTACTATCATTTGACCATCTTTGACTAATAAATCAAATATTTCATCATATTTAGTGATGTCAAAACTATACGTTTTCTTAGGGAATTTATCACCGTTCCTTTCAGACTCTACATGATTTTTTCCATTTGAAAGAACTACAATTTATAAGAGTATGGTGGCCCTTGTTTTAATCCCGCTAAATCTATCTCGCCTTCTTCGACATCTATAGGATCACTAGATGTCTTTGGATCGTCATCATCCATTTCGACATAGGCAACTCTTTCTCTTTGATGAGTTTTGGCCGCCTTATCCTTTTCGGCTTTAAGACGTTCTACTTGTCGAACTCTATCGGCCAACTGGGCCATGTCTCTCAAGTATTGGGTATCTAACTTTTCCTAATGGAATAATCCAGGCCCTCTGCTGCCATTTCGACTAATTCATGTTCAGGCACTTGGGTAAAGCATCTGGTTTAAGCAGTCAAAACATATTTAGATACTCATCTATTGGCTCAGTGAATCTCCTCTTCACACTAGCCAGTTCTTTTAGGCTTATTTTGGTATGTCCCATGTAAAATTGTTCATGGAACAACCTTTCCAATTGATTCCAATTATGGATCGAATTGGCTGGGAGGGTAGTGAACCAAGTAAAAGAGTTTTTTGTTAGATAACTTGAGAAGTATTTAATCCTAAGGTTTTCGTTGTTCACTATTTCCCCGACTTCTATCAAATATCTCGCCACATGTTCGATAGTAGATTTTGTCGTATCCCCTGAAAATTTGGTAAACTTGGGGACTTTTCCCCTATGGGGTAATTCTGTTTGCAGGATATATTCTGACAATGGAGATGTGAAGTTTGGTCTGTGAAAACCAACGTTCATCCCATTCTGTATCATAATCCTTTCGATCATGGCAGTCAGATTATTATCTGGTCCATAATTTTGGTGTCAAACTTGCTGTATCAATTCATCAGCATTTTGGTTTCAATTCACCATAATCACCCCTTGATCGATTTCTCTAGGGATTGGTGGGGGATTTTGAGGTGTTTCGACCCTAGGTTGTTCTATTCCTACTCTAGGGATCTGTGGATTTTGATTAACGGTTAAATCTTCTTCCACGATTACCCTTTGGTTTACTCTTATTGGTATTCTTTAGGGTTGTTGAATAGTTTGGGGTACCCCAAAGAATTCAGCCATGCGCGTCATTTGCGCTGCCATTTGTTGATTCGACTGGGTAGTATTTTGAATTAGGGGGTTCAGCACTGTACTTCAAGTTTGTGCCAACATTTGCACCATATCATGGTTGCTTTCGTCCATTTGTTGCCTCAAAATTGCTGTAGAAGCATTTGTGAGGCTTGGTATTGCATGTGATGGTCCTCATAAAATCTGATTTCTACCCAAGTTTGCCATACTGGCTTCAGATCCCTGTAATGGTGATGATGCACTCACCAAAGGTTCGAAAAAAGTAGACGCAGCATTCATAAGGCTAGCCATCTCAATGGTTGGCATGCCATATGGCTGTTCTCGACCCATCCAGGCTGTCGAGAATCCTGGGGGAATGTACGGTCGAGATCCTGGATTTTCCCTTGGTGGGGGCGTTTCTAAAGGACCTCTAGGACCCACATACGAAAGTAAGGGTCCTGTTTGATTCGTGGTTAATGTTGGTACCGAACCAACAATAGTTGAGATATTTTCTCCAACGGTAGTCATAACCGTTGTTCCAATAGTATTTGGTGGAGGTATTTCTCCATTATTTGGCTCATTAGCCATTCTACTCTCGCTATTTCTCTTCCTAACAGTACACTCGTTGGTTATTCTACCACTTCTTAATAACATGCAACGCTGTATACTTATAAAAGGAAAGCAATAACATGAACAAATATATGATAAAAACTAGCAACGTCCCACCAGGTGTGCCAATTTGTTTACCGTGGTTTTTGGTAAACAACCGCTGATCCTCCAAAAAGGAAAGTCCTTTTGGTTACTCGCGGGATCGATCAGATTGATCCCAGAACATATGCTAATTTTTATGTTGGTTTGATGTGACAGTTGATATCTAGGAAGAACGCACGTTCGACTAAGGATATGATGTTTATGGTTTTGGAAAGTAAGAAAGTAACAAGAAGTGCAAGTAAAGATGCAAAAATGTAAACTTTGCAAAAGAAGTTCAAAACATTGTAAAAAGACTTTATTGATAAAAAATGGTGTTTCCAACGTACATTCTCAATTATTCTTTCACACGCAGCGGGTACTTGAATAATATTGAGTAACTAGCACAATAGGTTGAACACACAGAAACTCTGCACAAACTTCCTAGTTTTATACTAAAATTAAGTAACTGTCGAGGGTGGCTTGGCTTATAGGATGAAGACAAGTGTCTTCTGCATGTCCCTCGACCCCTATCTTCCTGCCACGTCGCTTTCCCTTAACTGCTGGCGAACTGCATTTCCCTCCAATCTTCAAATTCAAATATCCTTCGCCTTTGGTGCTGACACGAAGGTTTGTTTTTCTAGTCGAAGGCCACAGGAATTTTCCCGTCAAAGGCCTGGTGGTGATGTTTGGTCGAAGACCAATTTATAACTCATATATTTTCTCTAAGTTTTTCCAGCATGACTTTATCTACTCTATTTTGGTCCATGAGGCCAATATATACTAGGTGTCGAATTCAAGAGCCAACACAATTCTTGAGTTTTCCTAATGCAGGAGAACTCCTTAAAAAAGTCAAAAAGACCTAATCTTGATTCTGTTATAACAAAAAAAAAATTTGGTGAATAAAAATTAGGACAAAATACATGAGCTAAAATCCTTGGGCGAGTTTTGAAGATCGTACACGTGTTGATTATCAATTGGAAAAGAATCTAACGGTTGGTTGAGAGCGCGGGTGTTAACTCGCTCTTGTTATCCCGTAACATGTGCTTTTCAGCACTTTGAAGAAACAGCAAGGAAAAAAAAATGGCGCTACCCCTTCTTCGAATTCCTGGTACTTCTTCCATTCCATTTGTCACCACAAAGCCCAAGTCTTTTCCTTCCAGAACCTTCCGCAAGACGACGGTGGCAGCAGCGGAGCTTCAAACACCGCTGGTAGCGTTGGGCAGAACCGATTTCCGGTATCCGAATGTTGAAGCTCCTAGCCATAAGGTCAAAGTCCATGACAGAGAACGCGGAATTGTTCACGAATTTCTCGTTCCTGAGGTATGATCCCGTCGATACTTTAACCCTTCCATGTTCCTTTCACTGTTTCAACAACTTACTAACTATGAAGCACAGACCCGAACACGACCCTAACACGACGACTTCAGTAATAATTTAAAACAAATAATAAGTCAAACGTAATTACAAGTATCGTGCAAGTGTCCCACACATACACATCTTTTTTAAGAGGTGTAGGTGCTAGATAGCTACTAGTATTCACTTTAATAGTAGTATTTGTGAAATGCAGGACCAATATATTTTGCATACTGCTGAGTCTCAGGATATTACCCTTCCATTTGCCTGCAGGCATGGTATTTACTCTTATCATATTATTACCTATTCAAAATTAGGTTTTTCTAAGTTATTTATTGGAAGCATATTTATCAGAAATCTTACTATACACATGCATGTCATATCTTGATTTGATACAAAACTAAATCTAATAGATATTCGCATTGTAGTGTGTATATCGATTATGAACATGAATCTTATCTTGATTAATGACTTGAATGTTTGATTATTTTGAGTTTAGTAGATGATATGTTAGCTTATATGTCTGTTATGACACTTGTTTTTACTTTAAATTCCATATTTGTATGGGTAATGTATCTTTTGATTCATGATTTGAAAAGTAGGTCTTCAGAGATTCAAAATTTGAATCTCGATTTGATAAGTATGATTGGAAGAATGATATGAACCTATCATATTTGTTCCTATTTTTTCTTCCGTTGTTAGTAATAGTCCTTATATACCAATGATAGATTCCATTTTTTCCATGTACAGTTAAATGATGGAATTGTGATTAATGTAAACTAGTGTAAAATTCAATTTCTCTCCAATTGGGAACTTAGTCCACCACAATTTTCTTTTGTAGATCATGTAATGCATCTTTGACACTTGTTTTCTCTGCTGCTTCTGTTTCCGTCTAGATCGGTATCTTTTTGGTTTATGATATTATTGCCAATTTCCTGATAGGTTTTTGCTTATTTAATACTTTTTATGGAAGGTTGTTGTACAAGCTGTGCTGTTCGGGTTAAGAGTGGGAAGATTAGACAGCCAGAGGCACTTGGGATATCTGCCGAATTGAGAGAGCAGGCATGTACAACTATGAGTATTTTTTATTTAATTGGTCATTTTGACTTGTTAAGTAGCAATGCATGACAATTTGGTGGAATGCATGATTATCTTCAATGATGCCAAAAGAGAGTATCAGATTTTTTTTGTCCTATTTTTTTTCCATCTAAATCTGAAGAGTAAAAGAAGACATAGGGGTGATACACAATATACTTTATGCATGTTTCTACAGAGGGGGAGGAAATTATGGTTGTAGTCGTATGAAACTATTTACTTCATTTCAGTTTCAACAAGCCAATACTAAATGTGTTTGTATGATGTCAAACCTGTCTATAAGTTTACTTTATTCATTTTCCGAGAAAGACCACATTGAAAATTGTGTCCTGTCGCAGTGCCAATGCACTGAACTGAGCTTGAAGTTATTTTTCCCATAAAATAAACTACAGTGCCTATACTGGCCATTCAGTTAATTGGAGATTGTTTCCTGTATATTTGTATTCTACTCTTTATCCTTTTTGAATGTTAACTTCACTGAATCACTTGCACTAAAAAATTTTCGAAAGACAAAAGCATAAGCATTTTTTTTTGGTTCATTTTAGTTTCAAATAAGAATGAGAATTGAAAAGGATTTATTCATTAAAAGTAGAAGTTTGGCTTTTCACACTCATTTTTCTTGTATATTGCTCTTATGATTGTACGGATTATTAGCATTTTGATTTCTTAGTTGGTGTTTCAATTCAAGGGCCCTTGCACAAACGAGTAGATTAGATATACCTACAACTAGAGTAGTCAATAGCAGCCAATAGTAGTGCTATCCCGCTATAGCGGATCGGAGCGGAGGCCGGCCGCTATGGGAAGAGCCTTACCGGTGCCGGACACTATATTGACCGCTATTGGGTAAATAGCGGGTAGCGGGGGCGGAGTGGTTCCTGGCCTAGAGGGGTTTCTATCCCGCTATCTTTTTCCCCTCTGAAAAATTGAAATTACCCCTTAAATTTATAACATTTTAAGGGTAATTTTGGATTTTTCAATAAAATTTGATATGATACTCCACCCTAATCTTCCTTCATTTTTTCCAAAGAAAAATCACAAGTTCGTCCCTCACCTTTCGCTGCACTTCGTTCTTCCATTTGCACTTCATATGTGTTGTGAATTCAATGCCAATAACTAAGTATAGAATATAGGGAGGAATGACGAACAAGGAAGAAGAAGAACACAAGAATTGGTTATAACTGCTATTCTTTACTTTCTCTTTGAAAACAAGATTACAAGTTTACAAGAATAACAAATAACCCTCTCACCCTAAATTAGGATTTGCTGTGTTACAATGATGAGAGACTAGTATGCTATTTATAATAAAACCTAACATACTAACTAATGGGCTTTTTCCACAAGGCCCATTATACAAGCTAACTTAATAAACAAGCTAACTTAACAAATTAGGGTTTAAACACTAAACCTAATTTAACAAGCATTTTCGACAAATACATGCTTAGACCCTTCTTCGACTACAGCATGTACTTCGATCATACTAGAGTTTGATCCAAAATCCCACAAATCTCCACCTTGGACCTAACTCTACAGCATCAAGAGACACTAACTAGCTTTCTTCATGCAGCTTTATCAACTGCATACAGTGGAAAAACTTGCAACTTGGCAATGTTTTGGTGATCATATCAGCGGCATTGTGATCTGTCGAGACCTTCAGCACTTGGACTTCTCCACGCTCGATTACCCCTCTGACGAAATGCAGTCTCACATCTATGTGCTTGGTTCGCTCATGATAGGCTGAGTTCTTCGACAGGTGTATTGCACTTTGACTATCACATTTAACAGTGATACCTTGACCTTGAAGTTTCAGTTCCTTTGCAAAACCTTCAAGCCACAATGCTTCTTTCACAGCTTCAGTTAGGGCAATATATTCTGCTTCAGTAGTTGATAAGGCAACAACCTTCTGAAGAGTTGCTTTCCAACTAATTGCTGTACCAAACATAGTGAAAACATATCCAGAAATAGATTTTCTGGAATCCATACAGCCTGCATAATCAGAGTCAACATAGCCTTCGACAGCTGCTTTACTATCTTCACCCAAGGCTCCACCATAAATTAAGACTCTGTTCAGAGACCCATTTATGTACCTTAGAATCCACTTTAACGCTTGCCAGTGAGCCTTTCCAGGATTCGCCATGTACCTGCTTACAAGACTTACTGCATATGCTATGTCGGGTCTAGTACAGACCATAGCATACATCAAAGAACCAACTATATTAGCATATGGGATGCTGTTCATATATGTTCTTTCAACATCAGTACTGGGACATTGATCAATGCTCAGCTTGAATTGAGGGTTTGTTGGAGTCACAACAGGCTTTGAATTCGACATACCAAACTTGTCAAGAATCTTTCGTAGGTATGCCTCTTGAGATAAGCATAATTTCGACTGCTTTCTATCTCTTCGAATGTCAATTCCAAGAATCCTAGATGCAGCTCCCAGATCCTTCATGTCAAACTCCTTATTGAGTTCAGCCTTCACCCTCATTACATCTTCGACATTGTTGCTTGCTATCAGAATATCATCAACATAAAGCAACAAAATTACAAATGAATTTTCAGGTCGAAATCTGGAGTAAACACAATGGTCGAACTGACTTCTAATGAAACCTATGTGTTCCATGAATTTGTCGAATCTCTTATTCCACTGTCGAGGAGATTGTTTAAGTCCATATAAAGATCTCTTCAGTTTGCACACATAATCTTCTTTCCCCTTTTCGACATACCCTTCAGGTTGCCTCATCAGGATTGTTTCATCTAAGTCACCATACAAGAACGCAGTCTTCACATCCATTTGTTCCAGTTCAAGGTCGAACTGAGCCACCATGGCAAGCAACATTCGGATGGATCTGTGCTTCACAACAGGGGAAAATACATCATTGAAGTCGACACCTTCTTTCTGAGTGAAACCCCTTGCGACTAATCTTGCCTTGTACCTCTTCGACATTACTCCTTCAATTCCTTCCTTAACTTTGAAAATCCACTTACAGCTGACTAACCTTGCCCCAACAGGTTTCTTGATTAGTTCCCAAGTGTGATTATCATGAAGAGATTTCATCTCATCATGCATGGCCTTTAGCCATTCAGTCTTCATTCGACTCCTTATAACTTCCTTATAATCTCTAGGTTCTTCGTCTAGAACTTCACTTGCAGAGATTAAGGCATAAGCTACAAGATCTGCATATCCAAGTCTCTGAGGTGGTTTTATGACTCTTCTTTGCCTATCTCTCGACAATAGGTAGTCATCAACAGTTTCCTCAACATCATCAGAATCTTCTGTTTCTTCTTCGACTTCATCTGGGATACGCATTTCAGCATCAACATGCTCCACCTCAACAGGAATCTCTACCTGTTCCAGCTCTTCGTCAACATCATCAGTTTTCTTGAAAGCCATTTCAGTTTCATTGAAAACTACATCTCGACTGGTGATACACCTCCTGTGACCTGGCTCTAGGCACCATAGCCTATAAGCTTTCACTCCTTCAGGGTATCCCATAAACATGCATTTCAGAGCTCTAGGTTCGACCTTGTCTTGCCTAATGTGAGCATAGGCTACACAGCCAAATACTCTTAGTTTGTCGAGATCTGGTGGATGTCCCGACCAAACTTCTTCAGGTGTCTTCATATCTAACGCTGTCGAAGGACATCTGTTTATCAGATATGCTGCAGTCGAAACAGCCTCAGCCCAAAACACCTTCTTTAATCCCGCACTAGTCAACATGCATCTTACTCTCTCCAAAATAGTTCGATTAAACCTTTCAGCCAAACCATTTTGTTGTGGAGTACCTGCGGTAGTTCTGTGCCTTGCAATACCCGAGGCAACACAAAAACTGTCGAACGCCTCATTGCAAAACTCAAGGCCATTGTCGGTTCTCAACCTCTTTACCTTTCTGCCAGTTTGATTTTCGACAAGAGTCTTCCAACTTTTGAAATTCTCAAAAGTTTCATCCTTAGTCTTCTGGATGAATACCCATAACTTTCTGGAATAGTCATCTACTATGGATAGAAAATACTTTGCTCCTGAATGTGATGGACACCTTGCAGGCCCCCAAAGATCAGCATGGATGTAATCAAGGGATCCATGTGTTCTTTGTTTGCCTTTGTTGAACTTCATTCTACAGGACTTTCCAAGTACACAGGGTTCACAAAACTTCAGCTTTTCGACTTTATCTCCACCAAGCAGATTTTGTTTCCCTAATTCAACCAGACCCCTTTCACTGACATGGCCCAATCTCATGTGCCAAATTTCTGTCTTCGACAAAGGTTTCGTGGATGCAACATTTGTCGAGCCACTTACAACTTCAGCCTCAAGGGTATACAAGCCTTGTTTCTTCACGCCTCTCAAGACTTCCTTCGACCCTTTCATGACTCTCAGGATACTTTTCTCTCCTTGAAACACATATCCTTTCTTGTCGAATTCACCAAGAGAAATCAAATTTCTCTTCAAATCAGGTACATACCTGACTTCAGTCAACAATCTTATTGACTCATCATGGAGCTTGAATCTCACAGATCCAACGCCTGCAATCTTGCAAGCTTTGTTGTTTCCCAGCAATACAGATCCACCCTCTTGATCACATAATTCCTCGAACAAGTCTTTGTTTGGAGTCATGTGCCAAGTGCATCCAGAATCCATAATCCACTCCTTCGACGAGTTGTTGCTTGAAACCACAAGAACATCAGATGATTCGAAATCATCTTGGACAATAGCTGCATTGCCATTATCCTTACCTCCATGATCTTTCAGGCGTTCAGGGCACACCTTTCTTGTGTGACCTACTTTCTTACAGTGATAGCATCTAATACCAGATGTGTCACCACTATAAGACTTCGACTGATTTTTACCTTTCCTCTTGTCGAATTTTCCTTTAACAGCCAAACCTTCACCAACCGTCGAAGGTTTATGCTCCTTACGTTCGTTCAAGTCCTTAGAGTACAAAGCTGATTGAACTTCTTCAAAGGTCAGGGACTCTCTTCCATACAAGAGGGTTTCTTTGAAGTGAGCATGTGATCTGGGCAAAGCGCACAACAATAACAGCGCTTGATCTTCATCATCAATCTTTACATCAATATTTTCAAGATCAAGAATCAGTTTGTTGAACATATCCAACTGTTCAGCCAACACTTTGTCTTCAATCATCTTGAATGAGTACAAAGCTTGCTTCAGGTAGAGTCGATTTACCAGAGATTTGGTCATATACAAACTTTCAAGTTTCACCCATAACCCTGATGCCGTCGTCTCCTTTGATACCTGTCGAAGAACCTTATCACCAAGGCTCAACAAAATTGCGCTGTGTGCTTTCTCGATCATGGCCGTCTTCTCTCTTTCTGTTAACGCAGCGTCCATCGCCGTCGCTCCCTTCAACGCTTCCAAACAACCCTGCTGAACCAGTAGGGCTTTCATCTTTAAGCGCCATAGACCGAAATCATTCACTCCGGTGAACTTTTCAATCTCATACTTTGTTGAAGGCATCTTCTCCACGCTCACCGCACCAATTTGTTGTGAATTCAATGCCAATAACTAAGTATAGAATATAGGGAGGAATGACGAACAAGGAAGAAGAAGAACACAAGAATTGGTTATAACTGCTATTCTTTACTTTCTCTTTGAAAACAAGATTACAAGTTTACAAGAATAACAAATAACCCTCTCACCCTAAATTAGGATTTGCTGTGTTACAATGATGAGAGACTAGTATGCTATTTATAATAAAACCTAACATACTAACTAATGGGCTTTTTCCACAAGGCCCATTATACAAGCTAACTTAATAAACAAGCTAACTTAACAAATTAGGGTTTAAACACTAAACCTAATTTAACAAGCATTTTCGACAAATACATGCTTAGACCCTTCTTCGACTACAGCATGTACTTCGATCATACTAGAGTTTGATCCAAAATCCCACAATATGTTTAATTATTATTTATGTAATTTGTTCTAAAAATGATCAAATAGCGGCCACCCCGCTATACGTTATCCCGCTATTCCATTTTTGGGGTCGGTCGCTATCCGAGATTAACTACTCTGCCTACAACAGAACAAAGATATTTTTCTAGCTTATGGATAGTTTGAAGCCATTTGCTATTTTCCACTAATAGTAGTTAACAACTGCAGGGAAAATGTTCTATTCGTCACATTATCATTATTATTGCAAACTCCAATGTCTCTTATTTCTCAGTTGGAAATGTTTGTGAGATTTTTGTTTCTTTTCAGGGTTATGCACTTCTTTGTGTGAGTTTCCCATGCTCTGACCTTGAAGTAGAAACTCAAGATGAAGATGAGGTAACAAGCATATTACAATCATAACTTGCAATGTATGATAACTGTTTGAATAGATGCCAAATCAAATCAACTCTAAGGATTAACTTTAGTTTCGTTAATATATCAATCTGCAAAGTATCTCATAATATCTTCGTGTTACCTTTCAATGTTCCTGAATATTTCACTTGATTTTAGGATATATATACTGGAACCAATTAGTCATCTAATTGATGAAGCAACCTTAGGAATTTCCTTTTTCATTTTATTTATGTTTTGTTTCCCTGTTTAATTAGCTTCAGTAGTCATTTTTGCTCTTGAAGCCCTTGCTATTTGAAAGTCATATTGAATTTCGGCTAGTCCAAGTCTGGCCGGTTGAACTCAATTAAAAGAACAAAGCTTTCGTAATGCCTATTACTTTTTCCATTCACAAGGCTTAATCCCAAGATCTTGTTTAAGGAAAACTAAACTCTTATCCACTTTGACCAATAGGCATCGGTACGTCTTAGTAATCTTAAAAGTATTAATGGCTTTAGCTTGTACTCACTAGAAATTGACTTAATTATTAATATCCAAAGAGCTTTTGAGTGATTTAGTATATTTATAACATAAAAAAATACACCATATCAGTCTAATATCTATTCTCTAGCATCACATTATCCTAAACAAAGTAACTATAAAATGATATGTTAGTGGTACTATGTCTTTATCAATGCCAGTGTTTGTCACACATGCTCTTTATATCAACAAAAGATGCCAAATTATAACTTGAACTTTATGGTAAATGCTTAAATAGATACCAAATCAAATGAACACTAGGAGATGTTTTTAATTTTTATCTTGTTAGCTTATCTGCAAAATATTCATAATATCTTTGTTGTAACTCGTACCTTTGAATATTCTAGAATATTTTACATGATCCTTAGGAGTTATGCCCTTATTTTATATCTATTTTGTTTTTGTAGTATTTTTTTCTCTAGAAACCCTTGCTGTTTGAAAGTCATATTGGACTTCAGTGAATCCAAGTTAAGTCGAATGGACCCACTTAAGGGAACAAAGCTTTCAGTGTCTATTTTGTAACTGACTACACTAAAAGATTACAGTTAGTAGTTGTTATTAGTGTATATATGGGAGTCATAAGAATAGGAAAAGGTATCAATTGTTCGTTGTGGAAAGTCTAGGTCTCTTGAACACTTGAATATATAATTTTAAGGATCGTGCTTTTCAAATCAACAATAATTTCAGGGTTTACACATGCGTATAGACACAAAACAGCCCAACATGTGTAGGTGATGGAGGCTGCAATGAAGCAAACCCAAATGCCACAATTTAGGCGGACTAGGGTAGACCGCAAAGCCCAACAACAAATCTAGGATATGATGTTGGCCATGACTCCATCGTTCTCTGATTTGATTTCCAAACTTGCCGATTTTCCTCTTGTTTGACACTTTTGTAGGATAAGCGCTTACCACTGAGCTAAAAGCAATTGTTTGTGTTAGTTTAATGGCAGAAAATAATAAATATAGTGGCAGAGAAGTAGAGAAACAGTATATTAAAGGAAAGGAATTGTATTAATTTGATCGATAGAAATGTTACAATAAATAATGGAAAGGAAAAACTGAAAGTTATCCCACGTAACCAGGATTTTAGGGAATTGAATAATTAAACTAATTTGTTCCTAAAGTATAGCAACTACTACTAGCTTGCTCCTAAATTATAGCAACCATTAATTGACTAGGTTGCTAAAAACTGAAACAATAAAATAAAATAGTAAAAAATCTAGCAGTTACAAAAGCACATGATTAATACTCCTCCTTGCTTTAGGAACCGCAAACTCCAATCAGTTGCCTTAGATATTCAAATTTGCCGATAGGTAATGGCTTTGTAAACATGTCAGCCAATTGATCTTCAGACTTGCAGTAAACTAAGTTTACTTCTCCACTTTGCTGCATCTCTCTCAAAAAATAGAGCTTGATGTTGAAATGTTTAGTCTTCCCGTGACATACTGGATTGTTTGCAATAGCAATTGCAGCCTGGTTGTCAACAAAAATTTCTGTTTTGTTCTTCTGCTGCAAAGATAAATCACATAAAATCTTCTTCAACCATAAAGCTTGATTTACAGCGGCTGTTGCTGCTATAAATTCAGCCTCAGCGGTGGACTGTGCTACAATCTCTTGCTTCTTTGTGCACCATGAGAATACTCCTGAGCCTAGGCTGAAACAGTATCCTGAAGTGCTCTTCATATCATCAATGGATCCAACCCAATCACTATCAGAGAATCCATACAACTTGAATTCTTGACACTTATCAAATTTGACTCCATAATCAATAGTGCCTTTAACATATCTCAATATTCTTTTTGCTGCTTGCAAATGAATTTCACTTGGACAGTGCATAAAACGAGACAAGAGACTTACCGCAAATAGAATGTCCGGCCTTGTTGCAGTGAGATACATTAGACATCCAATCAAGCTTCTGTAATATCCTTCATCAATTTTTTCAGCACCATCATCCTTGCTAAACTTCTCCTTTTGATTCATTGGTGTGCTAACAGATTTACATTCCTCCATTTGAAATTTTTTCAAAATTTCCTTTGCATATTTTCTTTGACAAATTAACACTTCATTCTCACTTTGTTTGATCTCAATTCCAAGAAAATAGGTCATGAGACCAAGATCTATAAGCTTGCATCATTTCTTGCTTGAACTCGTCAACTAGCCTTGCGTCATCTCCTATCACTAAAAGATCATCCACATAGAGGGAAACTATGAGAAAATTATTTCTCTTATGTTTCACATAAAGTGTGGACTCGGATACGCTTTTTGCAAAGTCTATGCTCAATAAGTGATTATTAATTTTGCTGTACCAAGCCCTTAGCGCTTGTTTGAGGCCATAGAGAGCCTTTTTTAGAAGATAGACTTTATCTTCTTCACCTTGCTTCACGAATCCTTCTGGCTGGTATACATATATTTCTTCATGTAGCTCTCCATTTAAAAAAGCTGATTTAACATCTAACTGAAATATTTTCCAGCCATTTTGCGCAACAACTGCTAACACCAATCTAATTGTATCTAATCTGGACACAGGAGCAAAAGTGTCAGAATAATCAACACCAAAAATTTGTGCATACCCTTTAACTACGAGTCTGGCCTTGTGCTTGTTGATTGAGCAATCTGCATTAAGGTTTGTTCTGAAAACCCATTTAACTCCAATGACTTTTCTATTTTCAGGCCTGTCAACCAGCTCCCATGTTTTGTTTTTCTGTATCATGGATATCTCCTCCTCCATTGCAATTTTCCATTTCTGGTCCTTTTGTGCTTCCTCGCAGCTAGCAGGTTCACAAACTGCTACATTACATCTTTGATAGATGTCAGATAACAGCCTTTTGCCTCTGACTGGAGGGTCGTCTTCTAATTCATCCTGCAATAACTCTGTTGTTTGCTGTCCCGGATGCTTATCATCAATGTTGCCAAATAGTTTAGTTGTTCTTTGTGAGTTCTCCCAATTCCATTGTTGTTCTTCATTAAAGTGCACATCTCTATTAACAGTCATCTTTCCGGTTTGAGGATGATACACTTTGTAGGCCTTTGAAACTGAACTGTAACCCACAAAGATGCCCGGAGTTGCCTTCTTGTCAAGTTTGTCACGCTTAACCTGTGGAACATGTGCAAAACAAACACAACCAAACACTTTAAGAAAGGTTAGTGACGGCTTATACCCATACCAAGCCTCAAATGGAGTTTTATCCATCAAAACTTTGGTTGGAAGCCGATTTTGGAGAAAGACCGTTGTGTTAGCCGCCTCTGCCCAAAATGTTTTTGGCAACTCCTTCTCATGCAGCATGCATCTAGCCATCTCCATCACCGATCTATTTCTCCTTTCACTAACCCCATTCTGCTCTGGAGTGTAAGGGGCTGTGAGTTGATGCTCAATACCAGCTTCTTCACAAAATTGATTAAATTTTGTTGATGTATACTCTGTCCCATTGTCAGATCTTAAACATTGAATCTTGCAGCCACTTTGAGTTTCCACCATTTTCTTGAACTTCGTAAATACTCCAGCCACTTCATGCTTAAATTTCAAAAAGAATATCCAGCACATTCTTGTAAAATCATCTATGAAAAGAATGAAGTACAGACTACCTTGTAGTGATGGTGTTCTTTGGGGTCCTGCCACATCAGTGTGAACAAGCTGCAACTTTTGAGAAGCTCTCCAAGCTGATTTGGGGAATGATTTTCTTATTTGTTTACGAAATTGACAAGCATTACAATTTGGTAAATTATCAGAAAGTATTGGCAGACCTCTTGACATGCCTTTTCTTTGCAAGTTCAGCATTCTTTCAAGATGACAATGCCCAAGTCTCTTGTGCCAAAGTTCTGTGGAACTGACTTGAGTAAAATAGACCGCCTGCTCCTCCTCTGTTGGATCAAACGAGAAGCTTTTACCTCTCATTTTAACCCGTAGAACTTCCCGACCAGCAGTGTCGTAGATAAGACAATGTTGATTTTCAAAGGATACTTTAAATCCCTTTTTAATCAACTGACCTACACTTAACAAGTTTTGGTCGATGTCAGGTACATAAAGAACATCAGATATAATTTTGGTACCTGAACACGTTGAAATTGCAATGGTTCCTTTTCCTTTTGCAGTAATATAGCCACCATTCCCTATTCTGACCTTTGAAACATTAGTGGGCTTCAAGCCCTTGAATAGAGTCTTGTCATATGTCATGTGATTCGTACAACCACTATCAAACAACCAGCATTCAGAATTACTCCTCGTCGAATAGCATGTTGCAGCAAAAATATAATCTTCATCTTGCTCAACAACTTGGGCATTAGCTTCAGGTTGCTGCTGAAATTTGCTCCTACAAATTACAGCTTCATGTCCAAGCTGATTGCATTTACTACACTTCGCATCTGGTCGTTTCCAACATTTGTATGGTGGGTGACCCAACTTTCCACAATGCTGACAAGGGTAGTTTTTCTTTTTACCCCTACCATTGTTTTGGTTATTTGCACTATTTTCGCTGCTTGATGGCTGGTTCTTCTTGACATGCTTATTTCTACTGGTTTCTCCATAATGGTGCTTGGCTCGTAAAGCACCTTCGACTGCACCATCTTGTCTCATCAACCTTCGCTGCTCTTGGGACTGCATAGCACTTACAAGTTCTGCCAATGTGATCTTTGAAAGATCCTTAGTATTTTCCAATGAAGTAATAGAAGCTTCAAATTTTTCAGGAGCAGTCACTAGTATTTTCTGAACTATTCGTGAATCAGAAAAATCAGAACCTAACAACCTCACCTTGTTAGCAATGTTAAGAAGTCTGTTTGCATACTCCTTAATTGTTTCAGATTCCTTCATTTTCTGCATCTCAAATTCTCTAACCAGATTCATTGCTTGCATTCCCTTGATTCTTTCATCTCCTTCATATTCTTCCTTGAGGAAATTCCAGATCTCAAAGGCCGATTTGATCGTCATGATTCTGGTGAAAATGTCTTGTGAGACAGCAGCAAACAGAGTAGCTCTTGCTTTTGACTTTCTTGCTTTCTTCTCCTTGTGATTTCTTATCTGAGCCATGGTTGGATTGTTCGGCAAAGGAAGAACTTCATAGTCTTCCTCAACGGCTTCCCAAAGGTCATTTGCTTCTAGGTGAGCCTCCATTCTTGCTGCCCATATGTGATAATTATCACCGTCAAACACAGGCGGTGCTAGTTTTGTGTAAGGAGTTTCAGAATCCATCTATTTGATGAATTTAAGCAAGGTTTATTATGGTGGATTTTTACTGGGTTCACTCATAGGTCCCTCTAAGAAGAAGGCTCTAGATACCAATTTGTTAGTTTAATGGCAGAAAATAACAAATATAGTGACAGAGAAGTAGAGAAACAGTATATTAAAGGAAATGAATTGTATTAATTTGATCGATAGAAATGTTACAATAAATAATGGAAAGGAAAAACTGAAAGTTATACCACGTAACCATGATTTTAGGGAATTGAATAATTAAACTAATTTGTTCCTAAAGTATAGCAACTACTACTAGCTTGCTTCTAAATTATAGCAACCACTAATTGACTAGGTTGCTAAAAACTGAAACAATAAAATAAAATAGTAAGAAATCTAGCAGTTACAAAAGCACATGATTAATAGTTTGTAGCCAAGGTGCTACTCTATTTCCTTATAGAGAATCTAACAAGGGGCCTACCTGGCCCACCTAACACACCTGTGTAGGCGGTAGGCCCACCTAACACACCTGTGTAGGCGCCCATGGAGGGATGTTAAGCCCTTCGAATTCCTAAGATTGACGCTGGATATTTTAATCCAACAATCTCCCCCAGTGTCAGTCGGGGGAATTTGAATCCATGACCTTGCTCTGATACCACTTGTAGGATCAAGCGCTTACCAGTGAGCTAAAAGCAATTGCTTGTAGCCAAGGTGCTACTCTATTTCCTTATAGAGAATCTAACAAGGGGCCTACCTGACCCACCTAACACACCTGTGTAGGCGCCCATGGGGGATGTTAAGCCCTTCGAATCCCTAAGGTTGACGCTGGATATTTTAATCCAACAACTTTTTATTGCTCTTCTTGAAATCTCCGTTTTGGTCAAATGATCAGAGCTATTGTGATGATTTGTTCAAATTTAGGAAGTACAAGGAAATAGTAGAAAACACACAGCAGAGGGAGATAACTCCTAAACCATAACAAAACAGAAGTTATAAAAAAGACATAGCAAAACCATTGCCTGAACTAAACCAAACAGGCACGGACAGCTGCAGCCTACCAACACGGCTGTGGAAACCACTGCCCCCTACCCCGTACACCAGCCCCTTGTCCTACTCCAGAATGCAATTGAAAGGCAATTTCTGATTACGGAAAAAACTGAACTAGAAACCAAAGAGAACCAAGCAAAGCGGCAGAGATCAAAGCCAGAAAAACTGCCACGAGAACCGATAACAACTGTATTATCTCTGCTAGAAACTTACAGGGTTCCAACACCGTTCATAATACATACACGATGTCTTAGCCAACCTCCCGAGAAATCACTGCCAAGTGAGAACTTTAATTTTTTTGCTACTTCCTCCGCGTTTCCACCAAATTGTTAAGCACTCTACTATTCCTAGTTAACCAAATTGACTAGATGGTAGCATTAAACCCTTGGTTTTCTTAGAGTTACCAAGACCCACAAACCCTGCATATGTGGAGAATGGATCCTGTGTAATAACCAAAATAAATCCCTGCCAACTGAACAAGTTATACCAAATACGAGAGACAAAATCCCAATGTATGAAAAGATGATCCTATTTTTCCGGCCCTAGACCATAGAACAAGCAAGACACGCACTCCGTGTGCAAGACTACCCCCTCTGGATTAAATTGACTCTAGTAGGAACCTGATCTACAAGTATTTGCTGCCCAAATTCGCAGACTTCGAAGGTGCTTCACACTTCCAAATGTTGTGAAATGCAAAGAATCCCAAAATCCCTTTAACTCACTCGAAAATTTCCTTTGAGCATCTTTCCACTTTCTTGAGGTGAACTGTTATAATCAAATATTTTGGGTTGATGATCATCTAACTTGAAATGATAGTTTAAAGGAAGCTTAGGATATTTGCATAATATATTTGTTGTCATTGAATATTTACTTATACTATATTAAACTATCTTGTGCTTTTGAGGCTAATTTAAATTACCATCATTGTTGTTGTTATATCATTTGCTTATGAATAATATATGCTATCCATGACTCACTCAGGTATATTGGCTTCAATTTGGACGTTATTTTGCAAGAGGACCAGTGGTAGGTTCTGTTATATATGACTATTTTTTTTAGGAATAAGGTTGCCGATGTTGTCTTTGATAAATATCACCTTTTTTAACACACAATTCATATACAGGAAAGAGATGACTATGCCTTGGAGTTGGCCATGGGTGACGAGTAACCTGGGTACAAAAACTAAATTCAAAGAATGCAAGTTTTGTTTCCTTCATTCTTTTCATATGTACCACTGAAATTTCAAGTTAAAGACATGTTCGAGTGTCCAATATGTGTTAGTTTTCGACACTCGTACTACACTAACATATACTCATGTGATTATATTCTATTATTTTCATTTTCTCAAATTATATTTTCATTTTGGTAAGTTACGGTTAGTGTCTTCATGTTAGTCTTAGTGAGTGTCGTATTCATTGTTTGTCTTTATGTGTCCGTGCTTCAAAACTCTTATCCCCCTATGTTTGTGTATTCTCTGCTGTCATTTTGTTATCATATACTACATTATTATTGTTTGCATAATATAGAAGATTTGACATCTTTTGGATCATGTTACAATGTTGTTCAATTGGAAAGGAATTCTGTAGTTCATTTGGACAGGATGAACCTTTACACTGAATTAATGCTGAACCAAACACACTTGTGGATAAGGGATCAATTCACGTGAATTTGACAGAATAAAGAGGTTGGCTGACTTTAAAATAAGGAAAAGTTCATCTTTATCTATTTATCCTCTCAACAACTAACAATAAAATCATACAAAAATTAATGACCAATTAAAAAATGAAATAAATGTTAATTATGTTAGTAGTTTTGCACCATACAATATATGACCTGACCTGAATATGTGCTTATAAATGGAAACAAAAATGATCTTATAAATCAGTTTTGTAGGATTGAGTTAACTACAACCACATTTTTTAATATGGAGTTAGATTTAAGATCTAGTGGACCATTTGTTATTAGGTTTCTGCTATTGGACTAGCCATCATTTATTTCTACATTCAACATGTCCAATCTTTGATATGAGGAGGTGTGTTAAAAGTCTTACATCGGATAATATATGACTTGAGCATTTCTTCACTCTACAAGTCGATTATATAGAGTTGAGTTATATCCAACCCCATTTGGTACAAATTACTAAAGTATATTATTTGACCTTATATTTTGTGTTTGCTAAAAAATATTTCACCCATTTCTAAATATAAAAAATTGATTTTATCGAATGAAATTTCTTACTGGTTTATATTGAATCTAGATAGTTAATGTTTTGTTTAGACATTTGTTAATGGTATGCTACAAACCATGACTGCATCTACTTTCCTTGCTTCAAATGCAAAGAAAGTTTGGAATAACAATATTTTCTTAGATTTGAGCTCTATAATAGAAGCATCAAATATTTGATCTGGGCCAGTTGAAGCAACAAATAATTGCATAAAGTTAAGATATAATGCTGATTCAAAAGAATATACCAATACCGTTGTGGTCCAAAGGTAGATTAATAAAGAGTCACTCGAGAACAAGATGGTGAAGTGAAATGTACAACACAACACTATACCCTACTCGCACGAGCCTTGTTTCTAAAGGGTATCTCACATATTAAAAAATTGACAAATTGATACTTGTTGGATCATGCAAAAAGACATTTAAAGAGAAAACTTAATCAAGTTGTTATTGGTGAAGCAGTCATGAAGAAACAGTTGAATATGTATTTTTGTTTATTTGATGTTGTATGTTGCTTAGTTTTTAATCTGTTAAATGTATAAAGATGCGAGGGTAACTTCATCTTTTGAGTTAGTTTTCAGGGATGAGATCCAAACATATTTAACATGGTATCAGAGTTTGAATTAAAGTCCGGTGGATCATCTGCTAGCAGGTTTTTGCTATCGAACTACTCGCCATTTATTTCCACGCTCTAGATTTCCAGTCCTAAACGTGAGGGTGTGTGTTAAGAGTCTCACATTGAACAATATATAGTCTGAACATATACTTATTAGTGCGAGCAATCCTCACCTTACAAGTCACTTTTGTAAAGATGAGTTAGGTTCAACCATATTTTTTAACATAGTATAGTATAGAAGTGAGTTTAGGACTGAAATGTGAACATGATTTACACGTTAGGCGTGAGAGTAGGTGTTGAATATGTATATGTGTTGGAATTTATTTGAAGTTTCATATTACTTAAGATTCGAGACTGTTAAGTGTATAAAAATGAGAGGACAACCAGATTTTAGGGAAGAGATCCAAACATATTTGTATGATTCTCAATCCCAGAGCATGCTTCTCACTAAGTTGGTAATAACTAATCCTAATTAAGAAAAATGGAGACATTTTAGTCAATATGCTGAGATATTGGTTATTTGCAGTTGTCAATTGTATGATTCTCAATCCAATGGAACAGAACATGATTCTCTCACCAAGTTGGTAATTCTGCATTCTGCTTAGTTCAAAACTTGTTTTAATGTCAAGTTTGCAAAAATGAGTAATATAAACATTTTTGGGCCAGACTATATTTTTGGGACCTTTTATCTTTATTTGAGACCACTCAAAAGCTAAAAAATGGAACTTAATATTTTTGCAGTGACAACCACAATTATGATTTTTTTTTTGTTTGCTTTTTAATGTGTTAGCAACACAGCACAAATTACGGAAAGGACTAAGAATTAAAGGGACAGTTACAATAAAATAAAAATATCTTGTTAAATTGAAATGACACCAGCCTAGTACTCACAAAACAGTGATTTTCAATTGAGCATGACACTTGTAATATGATTGTAACCAAGATATTCTGAGGAAATTTCAAACTGTACAGGCTGACATAAACAAGGCTGTTGGGGAACAAGGGGCAAACATCATAGGACCATGAAGAGTTGTCCAGATCACTTTAACATTAATATTTGCAACCACCTTGTGATTATTAATATTTGAAAGCAGAAATTGGGTAGTGTAAAAGTTGAAAATGACATTAGCTATTTAACATTGCACTACCAAAAATGGTGTTAATGTTTAATGATCCATAAAAAGCCATTGCTGCTGCTACACCAATGAACCCCTCTGCATTCTGCAAATCTAACATGTTATGTACTGCATGGAAGATAGTGTTCAGTGTTCACACCCCATGTAAAAATTTAATTGTGTGACACCGACACTTCAGAACAAATATATGTCTGGTATTTAACTTGACAACGTTCAATAGTGACACAATAATTAACACATGGGTTACATTCGATCGCTAGTATCAATATCGTGTTTAATATAACCAAAAATCAATGATAGCGTCTAGAAAAAGTTACTATCGCCTATTAGTCAAAATCAGTAAAGTATGAGGTAAGAAGACTGTGTCATATTCTTCAATGTATATCCAATTTCTGATTAATATGGTTTTAGTCATGCATGTCAAAATCAACAAAGGGAAACCATAGAATAACTAAAGGCTTCCCTGGTTGGAAACGAATTCTCATCTCAATTTCATTCTGAAAAATCTAATGATATCTAGGACTTGGACCTAGATGTTATCTTGTTGAATCAACTCATTTGACTGCTTTACCCTTTTGCTATACTTGGACCTTTTCTATTTCCAAAAGGGCAAAAAAGTACGTGAAAGAAATAAATGGTGTCTGGTGCTCCACATACACACATAGTAACTTTCTCAACCACTTGTTCTACAATTTAACAAAAGTTGAGAATAAGTTTTACCTTATCCAAAGAGATGGATTTTTTATAGCACTCAAAATCAAGAATCTTAGAACAGATAGTTATTCACTTATTCATACATTCTATCAAAAATATTCAATACAATCACCGTCGTCACGCAAGAGAAAAATAACTCTATACATGTGAAGAAAGTTTTCAATCAGATTTGCACTCTTTGTTATTATTCCTTAAGATTGATATGTAGTAAGTAGCAAAAACCAAGGTTGTAGAGTCTGTAATGACCTTGCTATTATATAGTATGTGATTTTCTTAGGTGCTGAACTTCTGCTCAGTGGTGCTTGCTGAAGCCTGCATCACATCATTCAGCAACAATATTGTAAATCATTTCTTACATCACATAAAAACTATATCTTATAACTAATTAAACGGTGTATGCTCTAGAAACTTGGTTGTGTGCAGTCACTGCACGAGCCGTGACTGCACTATCAAGATCGAACGGTCCATAGTTTAAACGTAGTGTTTGTTTTAGATTTAAAACGATATTAGAGGGAGGGGTAACTCAATTGGTTTGTGTGCTCTTCTGATGCATATATTATACACAAAAAAACTACATAGTACGGAACAAGAGATTATACTGACCCCAACTGAGGTAACAAAATTGCAAACTGCACATTTCACGGATCTTGCTCCATATTGGTACATAAGAAGCATCCTGCAGTTACCACAATTGACATGTGCCACCTGATTTGCTGCAACAATACACAATTGATTCTCAAAATCGCGACAATTTAGCTTTCAAAAGAAACATGTTTTTGAACCTTGCCATACAAATTCTCAAACCTTATGATATATTATTAGCAAAAAGCTCAATACCTTCCAAAGCTAGATTGACTGTGTGACAACAAGAGCATTGAACGCTCGTCGCTCCACGGATGTACATGAGTAAAGTATGGCATCCTCCACAAACTAACTGAGCCATTTCTGTGCCTGTAAGTACATAAATGCTTGTGATTTAGCTACAAAGCATGGATTATATAAAGGGTCAATCTTGCATCATACCAGGAGGTGGCACTGCTGTAACAGCATTGCAAACAGCACAGCATACAGAAGTAGCTCCAACTGGATAGACCAGAAGGTTTCTACAACCAGAACACACAAGTTGACTCTGTGAACCTGGAAGCCAAACAACTTTTGTTAAACATGCACTTAGAGGAATTTCAAATCTCCAATAGTTTCATCAGCATAAAGTAATCAAAGACATGACCAAATAGAGAACATGCATCAATGAATAAACTTCCAGCACAGAAAAAAAAAAGTAAGATACCATTTGTTGTTGGTGCTGTATATGGAGCTGGTGGTGGAGTTGGGTAGGGGGCAAGTGGAACTGGCATTCTAAAAGACTAACTCAAAAGTATTTAACTTTCTCTACCAGATTCTACAAAGAGAACAAGGTACTTTCTCCCATTTTTTTGAACTCCTGAAAAATAAGGAAATAATAAAGTAAGATTCATGCAAGAGGGAGAAGAAAGTGATTAATTAATTAACTTGGTGATACTTGTCATCAGTAGAATGAGAATGAAACCTGTGAAGCAAAAGGGTATCAGAAAATCAAATCAGAAACCAGATAAAGTGAAAGTCAAAGGAAAAGCTTCCTCCTTTTTGAAATAAAAAACCATGCATGAAGTTGGAGGAATGGAGGCTAGAAAGGATGAAGAATTTAAGACACTGACAACAAAGTTATTTGTATATAATGTATTACAATATACTTGTTCAATGGCAAAAAGTGACAGCTTTGCTAGTAGTTTCTACAGTGAAGAAAGGGGGTAGAGAGAGAAGAAATGGTGGAAATGGATACGAGTGGATGGATACCCAAAAGAAATAGACTCAAGAGGTGCTATATATGCTAAGTGAATGAAACTCAACTATTTCTCACCTTCATTTTAGTTTTTTTTATTTATTTTATTTTATTTTTAATTTTATTCCAGAGAATGTGTGAGAGATCGAAAATGACAGACGTTTAAGTTAGTGATTTAAAGAAATAAAATTATACGAATATGAATAAAAATAAGATAAATTTTTAGATATTTATGATAAGAAGTTGGGTATTGATATTTTTAGTATAAACTATTTTATATTTTAATTTATTTTAAAATAAATAAAAATAAAAAGTGATATGACATTAAATTATTCTATTTAATTGATTAAAAATACTGATACTCATTTAAATTAAAAGGTATGGGAGTGTTCAACTAAAAAATAATATTTGAGTGTGACTTCCTCTATAATATTTGTAAAAATAGTTAGAAAATGGAAACTTTATTTATTTGTAATGAAAGAGTACAATAATACTTATAGCAAACATGCAAAAGAATAATATAGTGGATATGAAAGGCATGCAAGAGGCAAGTTTAAATGATAATACATCATTTTGGAACATAGGTAAGGCATAACACTAAAATTATGAATCATTTAGAAGAAGGAAAAATCAAAAGGTTGAAGAAATGGCAAAACAAAATACATACATGGAGATTTATGTTTAATCAAACTCGAAGGAAGATGAATTTATTTAATCGAATCATGCATTGACGAAGACTCTCTTGTTACAGGAAAATATATGAAATTTAGAGTACAACATATTAACTAATAATAGCACTATTGAGGGGAAGCGAAAAAATAGTGATTTGAAGTATATAGTACAAAATAACATCCTATTAGTTAGACAAGTTTGAATAGACATGGTAGAGAATGAACACTCATTTATCTCAAAAACAAAGAAGTAACAAAATAATTTGACTAGAAATATTTGTCAGCTATATAATACTTGCTCGAAGGGTGTCATGGATTATCTATTCCTATTAATGTTCAAGATCGTGAGCATTCGAGTTAAGTTTAGGTGAGGAGGTGGTTGAAGGTGTGAGAAACACAAGAAATGGAAGGTTTGAATTGGGTTGCACTAAATATAATCTTTTTACAACTCAAAAACACAAAGATAACAAATAAAAATAGATGAACATAATTATGTTTATCCTGGTTCACTGTTAAGTAAGTTATTGCAGTCCACCCCGCAAGGTGATTTGCCTTATACACAAGGACTTAATCCACTATAATCAAGTAGACTACAGACAATCATAATAAATCTGATCAACCTTATTAGAACCCCCAATAAGTTCGCTAACCCTTATTGCAAACCACTATGTCCGCAACCAAAGTCTTCTTGAGAATCCAGACTACACAAAGCCTCTCAAGGAACATATCAATAACAGTTGATTACAAAGATGTATATAAAAAGATGCTTCTACACAAACAAATTACACAATGTTTAAGACAACAACACAAAAATATTGATAGCAAGATATGGGCAACAACTCCTTGCTTATTTATAAAACTATACAAAAGATTTCTTTACAGAGTTTTTGTGCAGCGGTTTAGTGTAGTTTTGTTGAATTGATTCGTTGATTTCAAATTCTTCCAAGTACTTATTTTATAGCTAAAAAGATGAGATATGTTAGAGAGTAGAATAGGAAATACAAATACTACTGTATTGTTCCCAACAATCATGGTGAGACTGGTAGACAATAGTACAGAAAGGTTTATTCTGGCGCCACTCTAGGGAATAGAGGTCACAATGTACTTTTGTACTTTTATACTCACCATCACACGCAATCCCTTAGTCTTGATCTTAGTCTTCTATGTCTTTATAGGCTTCTGATATGTTTGTTGATGGAATATATTGTAGAAGGATCAGAACCAATGTATCTTCAGAACCTAAGTCATTAGAACCTTACAGGACTTGTTCAAAGAACTCTTGCCTTCTCAGTCTTCAGCACTTGCTCTTTAGAAGAATGTCTTCAGATCTTCAGAACTCGTTCAGCAGAACCTTGTCTTCAGTTGTCATACTTCAAATTTGCCCTATTGATTTCTAATCATTTTTATTCCTTATTAACTTCTAGAGTTGTCATTTGTTTTATTGTTGTCGAGTTCATATATTCATGGGGTTTAAGTTTATAAAGGGGAGATTTTTACCTTATTAAAGAATTAATGGGCCTTTCTAAATCAGAAAAATCCATGTAAAATTGATCGATTTTTATTAGAGAGGAGGTGTATATGCTTGAGACTTCTTAGCTCATTTTAATCTTATAAGCCCATTAAAACTTCACTTGATAATGAAGGGTGCATCTTAGGTTAGGGGCTTAGCATCCAATTTTCTAAGCC